GCTGGTCCTGGCTTTTAAAAGAAGATGGGCTGAGCAAGCCATGGGAAACAAGCCAGTAAGCAGCACCCCTCCATGACCTCTGCATCAGCTCTGGCCTCCAGGATCCTGCCCTGTTTGAGATCCTCTCCTGAGTTCCTTCAGTGATGAACAGTGCTGTGGAAGTGTAAGCCAAATCAACCCTTTCTTCCCCAACTTGCTTTTTGATTGTGCTGTTTCGTTGCTGCAGTAGAGACCCCAACTCAAACAGTCATATACCCCTTTCAATCTCTCTCTCTCTCTCTCTCTCTCTCTCTCTCTCTCTCTCTCTCTCTCTCTGTGTGTGTGTGTGTGTGTGTGTGTGTATGAGGGAGGTATTCCTACCATTCCAGGTATCTTTGTGGCTTTTGGCATGGAGGGATGTTGAGCTTGCCAGGGGCAGTTTCCACTTCCTTTGAGATGATCATGTGACTTCTGTCCTTAGTCTACTCTACTTACTGATTTGCAAATGTTGAGCAAAGCCTGAATCTCTGGAACAACAACAAGAACAAAAAAAGAAAGGTCTTAAATTTGAAAGTTGGGGAGGTGTTGGAGTGGGAGAAGAAGGATGGAAATATGTAAACACAATACTTATGTATAAAATTCTCACAAAGTAGAAAACATTTCAAAAGACTTAATACTAATTTTGTTATGTTAAAAAGTAAAAATAGTCATTTAGCATCCACTACCAAAAGATTGAAAACCTTTCTCGACTGCTTCACAATTGTGGTGGTTAATCTTGTATGTCATCTTGCTAGATCTGCTGGGTGTATCTTGGAGGGATGTTCTTGATCAGGTTACTGTGGAAGAGGCACCTTTGCCTTTATTCTAAGTTCTCAGTCTTGATTACAACCACTGCTGCCACTGCTTCTGTCACTGCAGCTACATTCCTTCAATGATATTAGTGATGAGTCAGCCTGCCTTCATCTGAGGCTTGAAAGCCATCTTATAGTACACGAACTAGGCTCATTCCTGTTTATGATTAAATCTGTTTCTCAAGAATTGGACTATGCCCCACCTGTAACTGCTGGGGGATGTCTTTCTGTATGCTGTAAAAATATATATTGCTCCTATTGGTTAATAAATAAGCTGCTTTGGCCTATGCCAAGTCAGCTTAGAGGCAGGCAGGTAATTCAATGATAGAGACAGGAAAGAGAAAGGTGGGGTCTGGGGAGAGACACCAGCCTGCCACCCAAGGAACAGCATGCCAGAAGACTGGTAAGCCATGGAACACATGGCAAAACATAGATTAATAGAAATGGGTTAACTTAAGTTATAAGAGCTAGCTAGTAAGATGTAACCTTAACTACACATGGTTCTGGAGTGCCTGTTCCAGGAATGGCAACCATACCTTCGTTTCAAGAGGTTATTATCTGTAGTTATGACCACCTATTAAGACTCCCTTGTTATGACAACATTGTTATGACCACCTTGCAACCATGTCAATTTCACAAGAGGTTGTTATGACCAAATTGTTATGTTCTGCTACTGTAACCCTGACTATTTGCCTGCCAAATCCCCAATTTGGAAACTCCTACCCCTGGGCTATGGAAACATTTATCCTGCCCATGTCCAAGGTTGCCCTCTTAAACCTTTCCTTAGGGAGAGGCAGCCCATATACAGGAATAAAAATACTTGCTTTAATTAGTCACTTTCTTAAATTAATTTGTCCATGATGATTTGAGTCAGTGGTCTTTCTCCTCACATCAGTGGGATTATCAATTAGACCCAGTGTCTCTGAGCTTCCAGTGTTGAGTTAAGTTCTTCATGAATCCTCAGGGCCTTTGGTGCCAGATTGGGATCACTGAAGCACCAGTTCCATGGACTGAGTAAATATCAGGTTCCTAGCCTGTCCAGTATGAGACAACCATTGGTGGACTGTAGTAGAATATTATTTTAAAGCATGTTACTTTTGTTTATGTTGCATTTGTTTAACTCTTTGAAGCTGTGTTACTGTGCCTGTCTAACACACTTGATGGTCAACAGCCAATAGTGAGGCAGGAGAAAGGATAGAAGGGGCTGGCAGGCAGAGAGTATAATAGAAGGAGAAACCTGGGAAGAGAGAATTGAAAAGGAGTAGCCAGAGAAGGAGAAGGACATCAGGGGCCAGCCACTCAGCTACATAACCAACAATGGAGTAAGAATAAGATTTACAGAAATAAGAGAATGGGAAAAGTCCAGAGGCAAAAGGTAGATGGGATAAGTTAAGCTAAGGACAGCTGGCAAAAAACAAGCCAAGCTAAGACCAGGCATTTATAATTAAGAATAAGCCTTTGTGTGTGATTTACTTGGAAGCTGGGTGGCAGGTCCCCCAAAAGAGTAATAAAATAACAACAACAGTGGGCTACTCAATTTAATAAACTCCATTCCTTGGAAAGGCTCCATCTTGAAAGGATCCAAGTCTACTGAAAGGGAGAAAACCTAAGATAAAGAGGCCCCCTGCTTGTCAAAAGCAACGGACTTGAAATGAGTTTCTCCAGGGTCAGAATACAGCTATGTTGTATTCTGATGCATCTATGTTGGAAGGGTAGTGGAACACAGAGCAAGTTCCATTCCAAGCTAGCAGCAGACCTTGGCATTGTGGCAATGATTTTTGAAGTCATGAAAGACGCAAGACTGAGAGAGAAATAGAAAGCAGATGAGGTAAGGCAATATGTAGAGTGGTTGGAGTCACCATAGAGAGACCCAGAGAGGTTGCTGCATCAGAAGTGGAGATGCCAGGCCCATGCGACATCCACCACAAAAAAGTGTATAAACAAAATGGAGCTAACTCAGAGTTTATATGTATTATAGACTGGGCACTTGGATAAATGGGACTGCTCTAGCCCTTTGGATCACAGTGGGTCATGTAATAATCCCAAAACGCTGGACATAGATCTGTGGGTTTGGTATTTGTCCTGTAGGATTTTGGATTTTAGATTGATCATTCATTGCTCTATGTACTATTTCTTCTTTTTAAAATGAGAATGTAATTATAAGCTGAAAGTGTATAACGTGGTTTCTATTTCTGTGAGTTTGAGGCCAGCCTGGTCTACAAAGTAAGTTTCAGGACAGCCAAGGCTGCACAGAGAACCTTTGTGTAAGTGGGAAAAAAAAGATTTTGGACTTTTAGTGTCAGAACTGTTAATGATTATATGAGCCTTTAAAGCTGGACTGAGTCTAGTTTGGAATTATAAAGAAGTCATGGGTTTATAGGGACAAGAAGCTATTGCTTAAAGTGATGTGTGTATCAAATTGAGAGTTGGTGGGATTGTGATGTTTATTTTTAACTGCCTGCTTGATAGGACCAGAATCAGCTATGAGAAGGGCTTCAGAAAAAGTTAGTATAGGGTTATCTTAATTACATTGATCAGTGATAGAGGACATTTAATGTGATTGACATCATTCTTTGAGGTGGACCTAGACTGAATAAAAAGTAGAAAGTAGCTGAGAATAGAAATGTATTAATCTACCATTCTATGTTCTTGGCAGTGGATCAGCTGTGACTAGTTCTCTCAAAATCCTTTAACAGTGACTTCATTCCTATGATGGACTATAAATGGAGGCAGAGCTTTCTGTCCCTTATACCTAATTATACCTGGCAGTTGCTTCCCAAATTACCACTCAGAGGCTTATATTAATTATAAATGCTCAGCTGGTAGCTCAGGTTTATTACTAACTAGCTCTTATACTTAAGTTAACCCATAATTCTTATCTATGTTTAGTAACATGGCTTGGTATCTTTTCTCAGTACAACATTCTCATCTTGCTTTCTCTGCCTCTGGCTGGCAGCTCCCGACTCCATCCTTCCTTCTTTCTGTATCTCCACTTGGCTTCTATGCTCAGCCTTATTCTGCCTGGCTATAGGCAAAATCAGCTTTTATTATAAACCAGTGAGAGCAACACATTTTCACAGTGCATAGAAGGATTCTCTCACAGCAACAGACAGTAACCTGGAGCTATGAACTGAATGAGCCTTTTTCCCCTTAAATTACAATTGCCAGTATTTTATTATGGCAAAAAAACTAAGACACAATCAAACTCTCAATGATTACAGAATCTTTGTGCATACAACCAGTTACTGGCCAATTTTAAGCTTGCTAAGTTGCTACTATACGTAATTCATAAAAGAGCTATAATTCCGGTCACCCTGGACTCTTCTTCCTTTGTGCCAGCACACTAAAAAGTAAATGAAAGCCATAGAACAACATAGTCACCAGTTTTTCTCAGCCAGGTTCTGAGAACTCTAATGGCTTTTTATCAAGTTCAGTGCAAAGACCCAAGCCTGTCTCAACATCCCCATTTTCTCAGAAACAGCTGCATGGCCTTGGGCACCGTGCTTACCTCATACTGGTGAGATGCAGGTTACATAGAATCTGAAAGTTCTTAGAACAACATCTGGATCTTAATAAGTTAGTGTTATTAAAATGTTGGCTATTATTATTAGTATTTTATTAACTTATTTTTCAGTCAAATTTCTTTTCCAATTCTGCTAAGGAAATTCTGGATAAGTAAATGTGTCTAGCTGGTAATCTTTTAGAAGTGAAAATCCTTGCTTCATCTTGTTCATCTATATAAAAAATAGGGAAAAAAAAGAATATAAGAAACAATTTTAGACATTTATTTTAGTAGCAAAAATTATTATATTCTCCCTCAAAGAATGCATGGTTCAGCCTCTGTCTTTGATCCTGTTTCTTTATATATTAAGTTACCATAAAATAAACTACATAGTCACAATTTATATGAGTAATATTTCTCTCTAGGGTAAATTCTATAAGCATACTATAATTGTCAAACTATTAATAATATTTATTTATACAGGTATGTATCTGTGTGAGATTACATAGGCAGGGAAGAGCCGTGAGGTAATTAAGGAAAACTGTGGCTTAATTATTGTAGTTGGTCACCAAGGAGAGCAAGACATGCAGAAGGAAAGGTAAAAGCCATTAATCACATGGTAACATGTAGATAAATAGAAATGGGTTAATTTAAGTTATAAGAGCTAGTTAGAAACAAGCCTAAGCTGTTGGCCAAGCTTTCATGATTACGAGTAAATCTCTGTGTCATTTTTGGGGAGCCAAAGAAAATGTCCCACTACAAATGGTGCCCAATGTGTGGTTCAAACCTAGCACTCTGAGATTAAGAGTCTTATACTCTATCAAATAAGCTAAAGTAAAGTCTTTAAAGAGAGAAGTAAAGTAATAATAATAAAAAAGAATAAGCCACATAAGGATGGGAAGTGTATAACACAGGAATTTGGACCTTATATGGTGCTTTGTTATTTTTGAACTTTTTGAATGCTAATGACAGACAACAGCTGCTGAGAGACATTGGATTGTGTAAGGGACTGCTGAATTAAACTTTAAAATGGAAGTAAAAAAGTGTATTTTATTGGGGAAGAGGTTATGTTTTTGTTTCCATAGGAAACAAAAGACTGTGGATTCCTTCCAGGTTAATGGAGATCAGATTTGACCAGAGGAGACCTTCTGAGTATCTTGGCTACAGACATGGGGGACAAAGCCAGGACAGGTGATGTGTAAACTAATCCCTCTGCATAGAAACAGCTTGGAGATGAGATGAGACATGATAAATCTTGTTGGCTACAGAGTCCTCAAAGGATTTATGATTACATGACATCCTTTCATAGGTCATGAATAGAGACTTACATTACAGTTTGGTTACACAGTCCAAATGGACTTATAAAGTTGATAGATGCCTTTTACCTGCTCAAACATAGAACAAAAAATCTTTAACTGACTTGTGCACATCATACCCTCCATACTTATGTTAATTCAAATATGTATGTTACCTTTAAAAGTTTATATGTTTTCATAGCAAGGAGACTGGACACCACTGAAAATTGGTGGCCCAGGCAACCCAGCCTGTCAGAATGTGTCTGCTGTAGTTTCCTCAGAAGTCTGCATCCAGAACAGCATCAAGGATGCTGGCTGAGATAGTCCAGCCTCACAGACCATTCTAGCCAGGACTACAGATAAGTGTTGCACATTCTCATTGCACAGAGCCCAGACTACAAATGTTATGGCTAGTTTTCCCAGGAATTGACCATTATCTCATTTTTCATAGGTTTCCAAAAGATGTCATCAGCCCCAGACAACAAGAAGCAGTCTGGAGAACACGATGCCTACATTCTCAAGAGGTAGGGTGGGTGGTTTTTGGTCATATGGTGGGGTATGTTTGTTATTTTTTTAGGGGGGTCGGTTACAAATTGTTATGGTCATGGTCAGGAAAAAAAACTGAAGAAAGGAGATTAGGTTCATGGATCTGTTTCTGAAGAGTAAAAGGGGGCAATAAAGTATAAAAATGATGGGATAAAAGGGTGGGTTGTTGAATCTACTTCTAAAAAACCATTAGTCTAAAATATTTTACATTGGTATGGATTTTTATATATTGATACAAATTTAAGTTTATTTTTGTTATACTGTATATGTGTTTCTATTCTTGTTTAAGGTATTGCACTTATGCAGCTTATTTTAAAATATAGTGCAATGTTCTTATCCTTGGAAGCTATTACAAACTGTTTGAAATTATTAAGAAATGTAAGTTAGTAGTTAGTCATCCATAACACTCAAACATATGGCCATGTTAGGTATGTTTTCAAGGTCAAACAGAGATATATTTTAGATAGATAGCCTCAAACATTTTAGAGAGCTACAGAATATGGCACTCAAGATATTTTAATAGTATAAGGCCTTTCATGACAATGAGACAGGTCTGCTCCTTGCAGCACCAATCTACCTCAGAAAAGATGATGGGCATCAAAGAACCTCCATATAGAGTTTGCTTTCATTATGGCAAAGCTAGCCATTTGGACAAGAAACTGCCCTTGCCTTAACTACTGACAGTATGCTAGACAAACTGGACAAACAGAACAAAACAAAAAAAGAGTACTGAGCTTTGCCAAGCGGAGGCAAGATAGTCCTTCAGAATTCTTGATTCATAGAAAAGTCTACCAGATCTTCTAGGCCTGTAGGCCAATGATGAATGCCCTAACACTGTAGAGCCACCTTGGGTGACTCTCCAGGTAGCCAGATATCTCTGTCATTTTGGAAGTTATTTGTACAGCACTTCCTGTTTACTCAGGTAATATTATATCCTTCTGGGGTCTTTGATGGAGTTGAAGACTAGATTATAGTTGCAGTTTTCCTTAGCTTTGATATAAGATAAATTAGGTATAGAGCTTTGGAATCATCAAGATAGAATAAATTATGGAGTATTTTCTCCAAATATGCCAAATATAAATGGACTGGACATTATGAATGAAATTCTTACCTGATAATTATTATTGTTTAGAGTTTTATTATCTTAGATTTAAAACCTTTCCTTTTTATTTAGACAATAAGCAGAAATGTGGAATATTCCTTTACACTGTGTGAAGATGTTTCATTGTGATTGGTTTAATGAAGAGCTAAATAGCCATTAGCTAGGCAGGAAGGGGTTAGGAGGGACTTCTTGGGACAGAGAACTCTGGGAAGAAGAAAGGAGTGGCCAGATGAATACAGGGAGAACAAGACATGCAAAAGGAGAGATAAAAGCCACAAGTCATGTGGCAACATGTAGATGAACCGAAATGGGTTAATTTCAGCTATGAGCACTAGTTAGAAACAACTCTAAGCTATTGGCCAAACTTTCATAATTAAGAATAAGTCTCTGTGTCATTATTGGGGAGCTAACAGTATATGTGGAGGCAGACCTCACCCATCTTTTTCAATAAAGGCAGATTTAACCCAAATCTCTCAAAATGCTTATCCCAAACTCTCACTACCTAGACAGTTATCTTTAGCTCCCAGGTAAACCCATCCTTAGGGGAGATGCCCCCTGTATTTTATAGCCTGCTGACCTCTATACTATCAGAGACCACACTAAATTCTAAGGCCTTTTAGCTATAGAACTTACCCTCATGGTCACATGTACTTTGTAAAGGATTTGCTAAGTAGTCAAACCTTAAGCTTTATTGTGCACCTGCAATGGTTGTTGCCTGGAAACCTAGAATGGGAATGATTTTTGCCTGGAAACTTTTTCCCAAATTGTATTGTGTTTTAAATATGCCAACAATGAACCACCTATCATTAGACTCCATAACATCTGCTCAAGGTTGATGAAGTTAGTCTGAACCAGGTTTTCATTCTCATCTCTTTGCAAATCACTGTCTGCCTTGATACCTGCAGCCCTTCCCCATTCCCTTACACACCCATACTAAATAAGCAAATAAATAAATGTAAACTTGAAGAAGTGGCAATCAAGCTGTAAACATATCTGATAAAATGCACAATGGCAATTGAAACATAGTACAAAAGGTCTAAGAAAGTTAAGGCTTTGTTTTATGTTTAAAATAATTTAAATGTATATATATATATGTATGTATAATGTAGATATAGGTAGATATAGATATAAGTATTTCCTTCATGGATATTATGCTTCCACCATAGTCATTTCTTCTTTAGAAATGGTCTGCTTAATTAAAAAAATGTATTTGAGTATTTCTGCCTGAAAATATCTTTTCTTGCTTTCACTTTTTATCACAAGGATAATTTTCTAGTAATTTGGAAAATTCAATAAAAAACTCATTTCAAACATAAACAAGTCTGTCTTTACTTATATACATTTTATTTAAAAACAGGCACAAATAACCCACTTTAAAATCACTCTACCCTCTTCCTGAAACAGTTCAGGAAGTCCCAGATATTTAACTGCTAAAAAGACACATCTTATTGCTCTAATTCCCTACCACTAGAAGCTCATTACATCATTTCATATTTTTATGAAGATAGGAGAGAAAACTTGTTGTCAGGATAGAGAGACTGTCCCTTATGCTACATATGAATATTTTTTTTATTCATATTCCTTAGAAACACCATAGCATCCCATTCTTGTGGACACATTCAAACTTTACAGAGGGCTATGCTATGTACTAGCTCCAAAGGCTCGAATGAACACAGCAGTCTGCTTCATATGTGCCACAATCTGAAATATATGTAGCCTTCATCTACTCTGTACATACACATACTTTTCAAACTAAGGCGTGAAGTTTAAGGCTCTGCCTCAATTTATACATTTGAATTCCTGACTTAAACTAACCCTAATAAACTTTATTAACAGGTGACTGAACCTGATGACATTGACCAAACAAGGCTCATTGGGCTGCTTTTCTCAGTAAACAATGGATATGGACTCTGGCATGAAAAGTGCAAGAGCACTCAGCAACCCCGGCACCTCCTCACACCCTCTGTTACATCATCCTGTTCAAATACTACTCTGTCAGGTCTTTTACTCATTTGAGTTGTGAAATATATATTTTTATATAATCATTGCTTTTCTCATTTTTAAAAATTTATTCTTTTGTCACAATACACCCCAGCCACAGTTTCCTCTCCCTCTACTCCTCTCCGTCAATCCCTCCCCCACCTCCCTTTCCCCCAGATCTACTTCATTTCCCTTCAGAAAAAAGCAGGCCTCCCAAGGTTATCAGCTGAACATGGCATAATAAGATTCAGTCAGACCAGGCTTAAACCCTTGTATCAAGACAGGATGAAGCAGCCCAGTAGGAGGGAAAGGGTTCCAAGAGCAGACAAAAGAGCCAGAGACACTCTGACTCCCACTGCTAGGAATTCGACAAAAGCCCTAAGCTAAACAACCATAACACATGCAGAGAACCTAGCAGACACCCATGTAGGCTCTGTGATGGCTGCTTCAGGCTCTGTGAGCCCCTATGGGCCCTGCTTAGTTGATTCTGTGGCCTGTGTTTTTTTGGTGTCCTCATCCCCTCTGACTCCTACAATCCTTCCTCCCCCTTTTCCATGGTGTTCCCCGAGATCAGCCTAATATTTGGCCGTGGGTCTTTGCATTTGCTTCCATCAGCTGCCAGAAAGAAAGAAACTTCTCTAATGGCTCTTGGGCTAGACACTGATCCATGAGTATAGCAAAATATCATTAGGAATCATTCCATTGACTTTTTTTCTTTCTTTTTTTGCCAGTCATGTTTGGTTCTTTGGCCCATCT